ATTGTACGTTCAATTAGCAAATATATGAATGGTTCAAGATATGAAAATCTTAAAAACAATGAAATAGACTAACTGTTATGCTAAATAAAGTGATTCGAAAACGAAAAGGATATGGTCTCCTTATTAGGTCATTGTAAGGGTTGAGTTTAGGACAGGGTAAGTGTATTTGAGTTGAATAACAGCCATAAAAGCGCTGTTCCTTTGCTTTGTGTTTTTACTGTGCATGTACTGATTTTGCGTCATGGATTGATACCCCATATCCTTTGTTTTCTACTAAGGTTAGTTTTAGGTATTGGTTACACAGGGATAAATGCCTGGACAAGAGTAAAGGTTATGGTCAATGTTAGGATGAATAACTGTGTATAGAATATGAAGTAGTGCTATGTGGCTTATCTATAGTCAAAGATAAAAATCAAAAGTGGTCGTATTTATTCAAAAGAAGAATAAGAATGTGACTTGAAAGTTCTAAATTGAATGGATAAACAAGGAAAATATGGCAATTAATTTTCGGGTGGGATCGTATATTTTAGCAATAGTTTCTCCCCATTTCCACGATATCAACAGGTAAAACAAATAAGCCCACTTCAAGACCTATATTACTTGGGACTTATCACCGAGTTTGTACTTACACGTGCAGCACGAAGAGTGACACATGTGGGGCAGGATCTGCTTACTCTTCAGGAACACCTTAGATCACCCCCAGTTTTTGGTGGGGTTCGTGTTACTTAGTCTATAGTTTTCTATGTTGTGTTTTGTGTACTATTGCTTGTCTGTTTGTTTTTTTTTCTTTTTCAGCCATGGTGTTGTCAGTTTATTTTCGACTTATGAGTTTGAATGTCCCTTTGCCGGTATCTTTCGCCTCTTTTTTTGATACCATTTATAGTTGAGTTGATGTGACTTACGGTTCACTAATTTCAGCTCAAAACAAGATAACACAAATTTGAGTTAACTTTTTAGTTAATAATAAAGAATAAAGAATCTGAATAAATTGTATATCTTGAGCTTTTTTATTAAACTAAATTGCTTGTTAATTTTCCCTCATTATTTGATACAAGAACTTGTTTGCGTCGAGCAAGACGACGTTTTCCTTATATAGCCATATCGTTCCCTTATGAAAATTCCAAAGATTGAAAAAATGTCACAAGCAGAGTCTTTTTTTTAGTGCGAATAGTACAAGCAAAAGAACAGTACCATGCACATGTACTCATACTAGTATTCCAAATTAAGAAAATTGGTCATTACAGCCATTAACCTAGTATGACAAGTACTAAAAGTGGCAGATAATAGTTTACAATTATATATCTCGTTTTGTAATTTGTAAAATATGTAGTATTTTTAGCTTACTATATTCAATTGTTTTTTAAATATTTTTTGTCCGCTTAAATGGCAACAAAAACAAAGACTCCATAATAAAAGTGTTGTGGAATGCAATTTTTGTTCTTTGTGTAAAAGGAAAAAGGTCAATGATTAATAAGTGGGTCAGTGTATGAGTGATGTTATCGTCTGCTAAAAGTAAAAGTGTCATGGCAAGTCGAGTTAGCCTCGATCATAATTGACCCTTTTATCATTCCTCTGAAAAGAAAGAAAAAACAACGATGCAAGAGATTACACCACCTCTGAGAAAATTATTGTTTTGTTTTTTAAAGTCAACTATTGTGGACCATTTGCAGTTTAATTCTACAGTACAAAAGATAATATTCAAATTATATAAATAATTACATGGGAACAAAAAAAAAAAATACGGCAGCTACAATTTTAGTGGTCATTTTATACTATAATAAATTTTAAAATGAGGCATTTAAGCAACAAGGAATAACAATAAAGTAAATATCATGAAAACGTTTAAATTTCGAAAGTGAAAGTAACAAAGGAATCGGGTTATTTGAATTAAGAGTAACCCTCCTGAGTGGCCTCAGACAAATTTGTTCAGTGAAAATAAAATGCAACAATGATTAATTAATTCAACAATTGTAAAATTGATATGAAATCGACAAATTAAAATTTGAACAAAAACTGTTTTTTTCTGTCGTGTTAAAATAAATTAATAATTCATTCCATTTAATCAAGTCTTAAAAATGACATTTGATCATTGATAGTTATCTCTCTCGTTAACATGTCGAAAGTTAATTATGACACTTCCATTGTTATTTTTCATTATTATCATTATTATTTCTTCTATTATTGATATTGATTTATATATAAGTATGAAAATATGTCTTTTAAAACGAAAAAAAAGATAAATTAAGAGGTTGGTTGACAATATTTATTTATGTAAGAGAAGAGAAAGGGAAGCATTTGACAGATTTGTATTTAAAATGTATCACTTGAAATGATAAAAAAATCATCAAGGGAATGCTGGGCATTTTTTTTTTCTATTCCACCGCTGGAAGAATGTTCGGAGGAGTTTGCGTATTTAACATACCCTTATAAAATCGGGTACTAACTTAACGAACAACCGAAACCAAATGCAGAATTGTACATATTTGAACCAATTAAACATGTTGGTAATATAAGAAAATATCTACGTATATTGTTTGATATCGGAGAATAATATGTAATTTATGGAAATTTATTGTAATTTTCTTTTTATCCTATTGGGATCATCTTATTTTTCCTTTTAAACATGACTATTTGAAAGGTTTTAATTTGAGGTGCTTAAACAGTTAATTTTGAACGTGTAAAACCGGTAAATACAACTGCAGTAGTGACTTAGCGCAAATAGGACTTTTTGCTGACCGCAAATGTCATTTTTGATTTTTTATGCGCAAATTTCGTATCAGAAAATACGATCGTCTATCGTTCATACAGAAATTAACCGTTTCAAAATATCTCGATTAAAAGCCAGACTTCGATTTTGATAATATTGTTATAGGGTTATTGTATTGATGGGAGCACAATCAAATGATATCTTAACATATAATTTCCAAGGCTGTTCACACGGTTTAATTCGACCAGAATATTGATATATTGATAATATTAATAAAATTATTTATATTTCAAAATATCCTTACTTATCAAGATTTTGCAGCAAAATACAATGCATGTCACATATAATTTTCTGATTGATAAGTAGATGCATATTATAAGTCATAACTATGAAGGCGAAAGTTAACAGCGTGAGAAATGAGCTTAAATTGGGCCGTAAGTTTTCTCTTTGGATCATTGCACGCGTTGTTATTATAGGGCTTTTTATAGGTTACTTTACGGTATATGTTTTGCTCATTGTTGAAGGCATCCCTAGACTTCCTAAGTGTTGCGTCCGTTTGGCTGTGTGGGATGTATAAATACGCAGCCACATCCGGTCGAAATAGGGACATTAAATCCAATGTTTCGTGTAGCGAGAGTTCCATGCTATCTACACGGTAGAGAAACCTAGCAAGTTTGTAAGCAAACTTTCTGTTCATATCAAACGTACCCTCATTTTCCAGTCGTAATCTAAATTCTTTCTTTAAATAGAAGGAAACCAAAAAAAATTGCAACATTAAACCCCATCATGCGTAATAAGTCCACAAAACACTAAACGAAAAACTATAGATTGAAATACACGAACCACGTCAAAACCGGGGGTGAACTTAGATGCTCTCGGGAGGGTTCGCAATTCCTGCTCCACGAGTGGCACCGTCGTTTTGTTCATACTTAATCTTTGCTATATCATTTTTTTTTTAAAAAGCCGTTAACCTAGTTTGACTCAAATTATTGTATCGTGCATGTGTATTCACTAGTTCTCAAAATGTTACTATTTCATTCAGTTTGTGTTCCAATGTGCCATTCTTTTTTTTATAGAAGCATATATATGAAAATATATATGAAAATATAGTGTGTTTACCAAACCAATATATAGGCCATGTATTTCAGTTTTGACTATGTTATTACAATTATTTTTGATTAATTAAGGATGATTGCATATTTACTGGTATTAGATACTTAAATAGTATTTACGTTTGACCTGCACGAAAAAAGTGATGTTATACTAACCAAGTACCACACACGAGGGACCTCAAAATATATGTATGTGCAGTTGACATCAGTACTGATGACACTGCTGTATAGTACATGTACTTTACTTAGTCATACGATATTTCCGTTTTAGCCGTCTGACATTGCGACTTGCACAGCATGCGTTTAAGGAAATCTTATTAACCACGCCGATTTTGGATTGAATAAATAAGGGAGGTTGATTGTACTTTACTTTCGTAACTTTGCATACATTGCCAGGTTATTGCCTTGAACAATATTGATTCAATATAAAAACTTTTTTTTTCAAAAACTACGGCACTGATCTGCAGGAACCAGAAAGTTCAAAACTTGACCAATTGATAAAGGAAAAAAATAACAATTTAACAAATAATGTATAGAAAAGGAGATGTTGTATGATTGCCAATAAGACAACTATCCACCAATGACCAATGGACAAAGATTATAACCACCACATGTCATCGTACGGCCTTCAACAATAAACCATTATATATACAGATTTTATGGTTGACATGAGCTACTAACTAATATTACAAAATTTAATGCGTTTCTTCAGTATTCTGGTGTATGCAAGCTGGTATGAATCAAGTGTAAGAACACTTGTTTATAAATGAGACGCTTATTTAACCATGGACACTTATATTGCCTTATATTGTGATTCTTGTTTTCGATTGAATGATCGCGCAAAACGTTGTTATATACTGTGTTACATGTGAAGCAGTATCTTCTTACCCTTCCGGAGCACCTAAGATCACTTCGGGTTTTTTTTTGGTGGGATTCGTGTTACTATGTCTTTAGTTTTTCTATGTTGTGTTTTAAGTACTGTTGTATATCTTTTGGTCGTTTTTCGTTTTTTGTCATGGCTTTGTCAGTTTGTTTTCGACTTACGAGATTGGATATCTCGTTCGTAGCTTTTTCCTCTCTTTTATACGCATAACCAAATTATCATTTTTTATTTACGTTGGACTGCATTTTCCTGTTAATATATGTTTAGATGTAGACTAATTGAATGTATACATTTTCAGATTATTCCGTGGAAAATGTTCTGGTTGTGGCTACTGCATATCAGCTCAAGAACTGGTAATGAAGGCTAATGGAAATGTATATCACATGAACTGCTTCCGATGTGTGGAATGTGGCCATATATTACAGAAAGGGGACCAATATGTGCTCAAAGATGGACAGTTGTTTTGCCGATTTGATTTCGACAAAGAATTTAGTGTTATTTCATATAGTCCAAAAGGTAGGCAACATATTTTTTTTATTTAAGTGATAAACATTGTAAGTCTGGAAAATATATATCTGATGTGAATGTACAACTTTAAACGGTACTAATTTTACTTCACCAAATGCATATTTCAACGATTAATGTATCTTTAGTGATGCTCGAAGCCCAAAAATCTAAAATTCCAAAATCTAAAACATACGTATAACTCGGAAATGATTTTCATTTAGACTAATATTTATGAAATACTGTTCTGTTAGTTAGAAGTAATGTTTTCACAGTAGTAACGAAAATCTCTGTAAACGCCGAGTTGTTTTTCATAAAATCGACGCGGAAAAGATGTGTGAGTTGCAACTGCTTGTCACATTCAATTTTGTCATTCATGTTAACACAAAGGCACCCTAAGCGTTTTTATATACATAAACATATAAGTTATTGAATCTGATAGGTATGACGTTGACTGACAAATTGGTACTACCAAAGATTGATAAATTTGACAAATCCATGATGACTATTTTCACAAATTTGACATTTATTGTTTGTTTCTCATGTTTCTTGCAAATTTAGTTTAAAAACAAGTCTTATTCTTTTTTCCAAGGCCTAATGTCTAACTTTTTCAATTAAATTCCTATTAGTTGAGTGTACATAGTATGAAAACGTCACGGCAGTATAACTTGTCATAAAATAAAGTTTGAATTCATGCCGTGCTACAATTGTCATCTAAGAACAAAGAAAATGTTCTACGAACACTGGTCACATCAATTAAGATTTAAATTTTTGAAGTGTGACCTTCGAGTAATTAACATTTCGAAAGTACAACCAGCATTCATTTGAATTGCTAATTGTGAAAAGTTGGCGCTGTTTAGCCGTTAGCTTCAAAGATCTGTGTCACTAAACTGTCATCCTATAAACAGAACGTGTCATTCTGTTTGTATTTCTATAATTTACTGCAGAAATTTCTGTAATTGAATCATCAATCCATTTTGAGTTTTTTTGTATGCAAAAATAAAAATAAAATGTATTTGTGACGTTAAGTACGTCATTTCTGCATGGTGCTTTTTAAGTGATGTTAATTACAAGTTTTTATGATAACCTCTTTCGTTTTTTGCATTATTTACATTTACTAGACCACAAAACCAAAAATTTACCGAATTAGATACAAACGTTAACTTCAGCACGTCTTTAACTCGTATAGCTGGCCGAGTTTTGAGTTCAGTTGTTGCGTCTGATTCATCATTACTTTTTTTTTTTTGCATTTTTTGCATTTTGTAGACTTTTTTCTTTGTAATATTCAAAACATAATCAGTACAGGACTGTTTTTTTCCCTTTTTGTTACTTGCAAAGCTTTACGGCTATTTATACAGAAAGAATGTGATATTCGAATGACTGTCCCCCTCCCTCTTCTTTTTTTTTTGTTGTTGTTATAAACAATTATGTTTAATTCTTTTTCTTCACGAGAGATACATTCAAATGACTTGGAGATATAATTATTTGAAACCCTATTCCAGCGCTATTTCTTCTGCGTACAAGAGAATTTCTTTTAAAACACCAAATGATTCCATGGCATTCTGATGTTTGAAGTATCGTCCTGAATATGCATGATATATTTGCCACTGGACGTTATACAAATGGCAATCAATCAATCCTATTTTTGACGTATACAGAGGATATAACCTGTGTTTTGTTGGGTTGATAATTAGAAATTTTTAGTCTTTAAAACATATTGAATCTGTTTACAACCTGCACAAGACAAGGTTATCCGAACTCATTAATTTTGTTTTCCTTTCGTCAGGTTGTCGTCTCTATTTTTATATGCAAGACAAAGTTAGGACTTTTTTTTAATTGGTGTGTCATTGGTTTTTTTTTAAGTTTATTTCACAACCAAACATTGACATTGTTAAAATTTTGGCCAACGTTTTTTTTTCTTTTTTTTTTTTCAATAATTCATTTACATGTATACCTTTGACGTTTTTATTTGGAAGAGTTAACAAGGCTGTTGAATAAGAAACTGATGGATCATAAAGTTCTTCACGTGTTTCGGTACTTATAAATCCTTGACTTTCAAATTTTTACTCTTGTGCCGTTCCTGATGAAGGTTACTCTAGAAAAGCGCTTCAGCTGAATAAAGCTTGTGAAGTGTTGTATTCATTTTCTTGCAAGAACTGAAATATGGTTTCAACATTTATCATTTAGAATTTACAATACTGTACATTTGCGCAATGCCAGCGACTGAAATATGAACTTCTTTTTGGTTTAAAATAAGCATTCACATTATTCGATTTTTCTATCATTATATCACTTTTCAATTTCGTTTCTGTTCTAATAGCAACTGCAACACTTGTATTTTCTGCACATTTACTAGATACACCGCGCATCGTTTTAACCAGTGGATTAAAGGCAAATTTTAAAATAAAAAAAAATAATGAAATAAAAAGCTTCTTCCAAATAATTTCAACATGTCCTATGGATTCCGAAAGTTAATATATCCTATGTATTTAAAAAGTCAATATGTCCTTAGTATTCCAAAAGTATATTAAGACTACGAACATTCCCGTAATATTTACAAACCTTATAAACCAGATCATCTTCCTTAGTTACATATATCGTGTTTCTTACATGTTTTTCAAAGTCAATTATATCTTAGATCGACAACATGGATGTCAGGTCTTTGTAAACGACATTTTATTTATGTTTATCTTATGTCTTGATAATTATCTTGTCACGAACAACATATCGTCTTAAAGATTTCCAGAATTGGTTCGATTCCAAAAAAGTCGAAGCTAGGAGATATACTTTAACGGTCGTTTATATCAAATGTGTACATATATTGTATATGTAAATTCAAGCCTTAAACTTACAGGTAAATTTTGTCATTGTTTCATTATTTTTAAGGGGGTGATGGTAAACGATGGAATATAGGTAAAAAAAGTAAGAGTCTCACGTACTTATCATCGGAGACTAAAATCTAGCATTCGAATTGAAGATCGTCCTGAACATGCATGAAATATTTGCCACTGGACGTTAAGCAAACATCAATCAATCAATCAATCGAATCGAAGAAGAACAATATAAAGCGCAAACCTATTCCTTATTTCATATCCGTTTCAATTCTTGATTCATTTGCATCAATCACAGATTCATTTCATAATAAGTGTTCATGTACCGTATGTGACAAACAAATAGATAAAATTTGTTACATTGCTTATCATACCTTTGGTTCACAATGCAGGTAAATTTAGTTATCAGGTGTCAATCGTTAAATTGTAGGTAATCTATTTCGACATTTAGGACAAAATAAGTTGCTGAACTTGGAAATTTAAAGTATTTGATATGTAAAATACAAATTAGTGGATAATGTGCTATAAACAATGTCTCGAATATATTTTTTGTGAAATTTAAACAATGCAATGTTTAATGGCTTCGTCGTCTGATATTTACTCAAAGTTTATTGTTTTAAGGCTTTTAAAACATTATAAAAATTATATCTGGCAACCACTTAATCAAAATGCATTGATATTGATTTGGACAGCTGAAAAAACGCATATGACATGAAAAATCACTTTAAGCGACAAATGACAAAAATTGATGCATTATTGCAATAAATTTTTCAAAATTTTACTAAATAATTAACAACTAAAAAAATAAACTGAAATAAATTTCAACCACAAAAATCTCGATTTCGATGATTGTAGTATTTGAAAATGTCATAACCGTCACTAAATATATACAAATATATTCATCTTCGTTTTTCTTGTACTTTCTGGTTGACAAAGGCACACAATACTGTACTTATGCTAGCTAATTAGCATAAAGAACGGGGAATTTAGAATATCATTAATATGTACAACACTAACGACAAACCAATTCTGTAATCCAATCAAAAAACGATCTACCAGATGTTAGGACACCCACACGTACACTTATATCAAAGTCTTATAAGCATATGCATTGAAGACCAGGAAATAAATTTGAATCTCATTTGCATAATTTTGCATAAAGAAAGTGTTCGTCTTGTAAGAAACTGTCAATCATTTTCAGTGTGTACTGTCAGTTACAGATATTATGTTGTTTTATACCTGTCTTTCCATGAACTTTTTTTTAACTTTTAAGATGACAAATTACAATTTAATTTTTGAAATTTTGTTTTTTATCTTCAAGCTAGATTTGATTCTTTATTTTTTCAGCTTTAAACATGCACGACTTTTTAACTGATTTAGTGTTTTTGTGCAATTTACATCTTCTTAGACTGAATATATTATTTTAATATTCAATTTAACATCAAAATGACAAATTGAGAATAATAAAGACTTTTTAACTATTGGGACTATTTTTTTTCAGTGGAAGACGATAGCGACAGTTATGAAGATTTTGATGGCGATTTAGATAGGGCAGCAAAACGTCCACGAACAATACTCAATACACAACAAAGACGAAAGTTTAAGGCAGCATTTGAACTAAATCCAAAACCCTGTCGGAAAGTAAATATTGTATTTTTACATAATTTTCTATAGAATCTTTATATTTTATAATTCCCCCTCTTTGTGTTATTTCTATACTCAAAGAACTATTGTGAGCACCATTAAAACCAGACAGTTTATTTTTAGGGAAAATTTATCACAAAGGAAGGAACAAGTTTGTGTAGTAATAAATTGTAAATTCACTACTATATACACCAGGGCCCGTATGCATAATGCTACTTAAATTAAGATTTGTTCCGAACGGACGGATTTTTTTACATGTCCTACGATAAATTAGTATTACGATTGGATATCTTAACTTAAGTGGTTTTTGCATATCAGCCCAGGAGCAGATATATATATCAATTCGGAAAAAAAAATCCCCTTGTCAAAATTTTTGCAGGAATAAAAACTTTCCATTAACCACTGTCACTAGGAATTTAGTGCAGACTTGTAAAAACCACCATTACCTTGTAATTTACATATGAACATTTAAAGAATATGCATACTAACATAATTGCCGTGAGACTAAAAAGCAATTGTTTAAAAAGGAAGAAGATACTAAAGGATTTATCAAATACCAAAACTCGAAGAAACTTCATGACCAAAAAAGAAACAAAGACGAATAGACAAATAACACTCATAAAAAAATAATAACAAAAATACCGAACTTCAAGGAAAATTCAAAACGGAAAGTCCCTTATCAAATGACAAAATCAAAATATCAAACAAATCGAAAACAACTGTCATATTCCTGACTTGGTACAAGCATTTCCTTATGTAGAAGCACTACACAGAAAAAAGGGAGCAACACGAACCCTACCAAAAACATGTGGTAAACTCATGTGCTCTCAAGATTTGTAAAAAGTAAAATAACAAAATTACCGAACGCCAAGAAAAATTCAAATCGGAAATTCCTTATCAAATGGCAAAATTAAAAGCTCAAACACATCAAACGAATGGAAAACAACTGTCGTATTCCTGACTTGGTACAGGCATTTCCTCATGTAGAAAATGGTGGATTAAACCTAGTTTTATAGCTAGCTAAACCTCTCACTTGTATGACAGTCGCATAACATTCCATTATATTGACAACAGAACCTTCACATATAATACACGTATTATACGAAACTCATCCATCTGTATAGTTATTAGATAGTTGCGCTATGTACTGTGTCTTTTGACTTATCACTGGTACACTCAATTTGCAAATATAGAACGACTTATTCAAGAAAATATTTAAATAAATAAATGGTTATTTTCTCAATATTTCAACTTTCTTTTAATTCTCTACAGGTACGAGAACAATTAGCATCGGAAACAGGATTAACCGTGCGTGTTGTACAAGTGTGGTTTCAAAATCAACGAGCAAAGGTAGGTTGAAAAAAAAAACAATAATTTTAAAGGCAATAGTAACAGAGGGTCTGGATTGAGTTTACAGAAAAAAGAATAACGGGTCAAATGTACAAAAAAATAGAAAAAAAGAGAAAAAATAAAGAATAGAGAAAAATAGGATAAAAATAAGAACAGAGAAAAATGGAGTGCATAAATATAAAGAATAGAGAATAATGGGCAAAAAAATTAAGAATAGAAATAAATGATATAAAAAATCGAAGAATACAGAAATGAAGGGCCCCTCATTTAGAACCTCATAACAGCACATTCAGTATAAACAAGGAAGTAGATGGTATAATGTATTCAAAAACATCCGCCAAAGCTGACAATTTTCCCCCGGGGTAACAATCTGCTCAATAGTCTTCTCAACTATGTTTTATTCATATAATGAAATATCATATCCTCAACTATCAAAATTAGTGCATTTTTTTTAATAATGCTTCTTTAAAAAATATAAGATCGGCATTCATCGAAAATGATATTAATAAAAGGATATGCAGTGTATACGTCAATAAGACAGCAACCCAACCAAACAATATCAGAAGACGTAGTTTTCAACTCTATACAATATGTCAATCTCTAAATCTTCCAGAGTTTCTAAAAGTGATAACATTTTTATACTCTTTATTTCAAGAAAAATTAATTATACCATCATCAATAGAAACTGATGACGCGTCAGCAGCTGACTGCTACCACTGTATAGGTGTAGTCCTAAAGAATACCGATATTGCTTGACGTTTTCACCTAATCGGACATTTCCGTATACGGTCAAATAATTAAAAGACATTTCATCTGTACCAAAGTAAACAAGAATTCGAATCTCGATTGTGTTCAGAACATTTTTTTTAAAAGAAATTAATAAGATGATGAAAAATATTTTAGAAGTATCACAATTTAAAATCTATCTGTTAACGCAATGCTTGTTCAGGTAAAATCATTTAAGTAATAGCAGTGCTGCAAAAAAAAAGACGTATCTTGTCTCATTAGAAATTAAGAACAAAAGTTAAATCAGCTATTCAAATACCGTCCTCAATTTTGACAATGTGACACTAAGACAGATGTTTTATATTTGATAAGATAGGAAACGTGTTATAAAATACCACATGTTTATCACTTTAAAGATTTGTGGTCACTTGTTTTATTACATAAACTTGAGAAACTTCATTCTCGTACCTCTCATAGCATGAGGTAGAGAAACAACATCTTCAGCTTCTCAATCACATAAGCGGTACATTTTTTTCTGCAACATATGCGCATTTCGACAGTACATGTCTCGAGGCCAAAATATTTGAAAATCCAAAACTTATTAAAACAACGAAGAGCTTATAAAACAAAAAGGACAAAAGCTACGGTATATCCAACACCGGACAAGGAATCAGAGCTTTGCATTCAAGGAACGCTTTTATATTTCAGGTAAAGAAAATGTCCCGAAGAGGTTCGGACGATTCAATTGGAAAAGAAAGAAAACGACGTGGGCGACATCTAGATGACGATAAGGATCCATCGTTGTATCAAGACATGGACGAGCAATCTATTCGTTTAGCATCTGATAACGAGGGTGAGTATAATTGCAGTCGACAGAGACACAATAAAAGCTTTTGTTCAAGTTAAAAAAAAAAAAGAAGAAACAAACACAAATATAACTCGGATAAAACAACACCTACTTGTATACATTAAGTAAGTGGTATTACTAAAACATGTCTGTCAGCGATGACCTCTTCCTTGACCAAGGGCAATGTAGTAGCAGCTATCCAGTTCGATTTAAACTGTTAGTTATTGCAATCATTCAATCTGGCATTAAGTAATAAAAACAGACATAAGTACTAAGGCTTAGTCAAAGTTAATTCAAAATTTCTTTTCAACTTATGCTTTTGTAATAATTAATTGCTGAAAATTCCCCGTTTGACGACATTGCATTTGTACTGCACTTATACAATATTAGACAAATGGAATTTGTAATGAACCTATGCAATGTCAGACCAATGCAATTTGTAATGAACCTATACAATATCAGACGAATACGTTTTCTAGTACAGCATTGGCATTTCTTTTGGCAAATCATTATGAGTCACTTTTTGCTCCCCCGTTCTTGTGAAGACACATCCTCTAGTTTAATCTTGATTGAAGTACACTTGCACCTCAGTATAATACTGGTAAACACGTGATGATAAATGTCTTTTTTATGCAAAAATTAATAGTCAGTGTAGCATATTTTATACCCTTTGGTTTTTTTCTATTTCTATATTAATAAAACAGGGGATTAATATTCTATAAAATATAATCAAATACACTTTGGCCTTAAATAGTATAATGCGATGCTTTAATTATAATATAACCTTGAATATAATATCCTACAGTCCGACACGTATTAAATCCGGAAATATCCAGTTTTTATTCAGCATCTCTTACAAGGCATCTGTTGGTTGAACAACGAAAAAAAAAATACAGGATTAATTTTAATAAAGTCCATCACTAAAAAAACAGACAAATTTCGTATTAATGCAGGGAATCGATTCGACACTAATGGGGGCTACAGTGTTGCTACACATTTATTTATAGTGTAAGTCTTTTTTCTTGGAGTGTGTTGTATCAAAACCATGTTTTTTCTTTGAAAAACCTCAAGTAATGCAAGAATACATTCTAGACCGATTGACGGACAGCCGCAAGTTAATTCACATAGCCGATTCTAGTATTACTAATTTAACTATGTATTAGTAAATTAAAATAGAATTATCCATGAGAAATATATATGTCCATTATCGTCTATTCAGCAAGTGAACTATCGGAGATTTTGTATTCTTTCATGTGGCACATATTTTGTAAACACTTTCATCATTAAAAGCACATGTAGCATGAAATAAATTTCGCTGAAATTTAGATAATGTCTTTTTCTAACAACATTTACTATGTAGTGAGTGTTTTAAGCTATAGACTTACTATAAAATTGAGAATGGAAATGGGGAATGTGTCAAAGAGACAACAACCCGACCATAGAACAGACAACAGCAGAAGGTCACCAACAGGTCTTCAATGCAGCGAGAAATTCCCGCACCCGGAGGCGTCCTTCAGCTGGCCCCTAAACAAATATATATACTAGTTCAGTGATAATGAACGCCATACTAAACTCCAAATTGTACACAAGAAACTAAAATTAAAAATAATACAAGACTAACAAAGGCTAGAGGCTCCTGACTTGGAACAGGCGCAAAAATGCGGCGGGGTTAAACATGTTTATGAGATCTCAACCCTCCCCCTATACCTCTAGCCAATGTAGAAACGTAAACGCATAACAATACGCACATAAAAATTTATAGTTCAAAATATAAAATTTATATGGTAATAATGACTGCGCAAATTTCTTCAAATATCTAAGTTCTTTTACGTCATAAAAATAATAAAATCATGGTGCTATCTTAATAAATAATTATCGTAAAATTTTCGATTCACGCAAAATGCATTAGCGTTTTATCTCAAAATGCAAATCACACCATTACATATCAAATGTATTAGATAAATACATTTGTGAATACATTTGGTGGAATGCTATCTTTAGGGATCTTTTTGAGAGTTTGTCTTACCAATTTACCTTCCTTTTAAGTATTTGAGCAAGATTCCCGTTTTTTACCCATAAAAATTCACTAATGAGGAGTATACTAGGTTATGCTCAATTTCAACACTTAATCGTGGAATTAAAAGCACATAAATATTTTTTCTCTCATCTGAAATCTTCTTTAATGGCGGCTTATGCATCAAAGGATACGTCCATAATAGGACACGGTTGAGTCAATAGGAGACAAGTGCATGCATAAATTGTCTACAGTACATAGATATTTTAATGATCACATGATTAAGAAAGATAGGAATTTCAGTTAAATACTTAGGCTCTCAAAATTATTAACTTGTTTCGTGTTTTCCTGGCAGAAAATAATCGGGTAGGTAAGTATTTATTTTTTTTAAATATTTTACTTGGACTATATAGGGAAACGTTCTCAATTTAACGGTGCTTAATCAAAAATATCTGGACTTTAACGGTGCTTATCGATATAAATGTCCATAAAATGTGTCGGGTAGGCATAAAATTTAAGGTAGGTAGGGAGACAGACAAGAAACAGAACAGAAAATTGTTGGCCTATTAACTATTTAATGCAATAAATAAACAAACATTTACAGAGACATTTTAACTTCAAATGGAAATAATGCATTTGCAATAATAAATCTCTAAATAAATCTATAAAATATTGGGAAAGTACGTTTTTTTATCTACAGCGCTATTAAAAAACCATTTGCTTAAATCAAAAAAATAATTTTAATGCAACTGATACAAAACACTGAAAATAACAGATCTTATCTGCAATTGCTACAAAAATCCGTTAAAAATAGACCAAGTATTAAATAAAGTTTTTTTTTTGTAAAATGGACCAAATGAAAAATGGTATTAGCTTATTGTGAGCATTCCATGACGTTACAATCGCATATAAATTAAGAGGTGCATGTAGATATCGACCCGGGTGATGCCCCGATTTGAAAGTAAATATATCTGAGTGTAAAACTATGAATGGATTTACATACTACTGAAATATTTAGAAAAGGAAATGTAAATATTCAGTCTGCCAGAATGAATGATTAAACCGTTGTGACCAAAATCGGCTGTTCAAAGCGTGTAAAAAAATCGTAATACAGTTAAGTACATGCTTAGTATAGGAAATGTCTGGTGTTTAATAAAAAAATTAAGGGAGGTGATATTTCTTGATTGATACTTGATTGATCAATGACCATTTCAGCTAATCAATTGATAAACATTCTAATTTTATTTTTACAGGTTCTTTATATTCCAATGTGGATCTGTCCAACAATATGTTTATGGATGTGCAAACATCAGAAGATTCAGCCGAGTCACCCGAACAGAATATTTCAGAATCTCTCGGACCTGATTTGAATAAATCGAGGTGCCCGACCAATCATATTAACAAACTTTATTCCATGCAGAACTCGTATTTTTGTGCAGAGTGAAGTCAGCGTTTAAACTCATTCCGCCCTATCATTAGACATTTTATATAAATTATTTAAGCATTTTCTTGTAAATATGTTGAATGTGATATAATTCAAAAGTTTTGTCCTACATACATATATGTGAGGGAAAAATAAAAAAAATTGTGCATAGTGAACACGGAAAATACAACTGTGTACAAATGACAACTTTCACGTATACAAAATGCATACATTTAAGTCATTCAAGTGCTGTACAACAGAATAAAATTAGTATAATTATTTTACAATGAACAAGGTATGTTTTACCGGATTCATAAAGGGTCAACTAGTCCTCTAATGCCTTGATATAAAAAAGAGAATACTGTTCACAACACATTTATACAAGTATTTTCAAACAACTATTTATTAAATTTTTTGACAGTGTTATCATCAGGATTGCTCAATAATATTCATAACTTAAAAGTCATTGTTAATTTATTTATTCATTAAACATCGCATTTTTATTCTATGGCAAACGGTGGTGTCAGATTCGTAGAAAAAAAATCTTTTCTAGTTTCTTAGCAACATTGTAGAAAAGTTTGTTGTTATTTTTTAATGTATTTCTTTTCATACGCATTTGGCATATTATATAAATCTCAGATATCGTGTTTCAAATGGTTACTTTATTAATAGTTAAAGATTTTTTCGTTTTAAATTGACGAATATCAAAAATTTAATTACTATTTCACACAATCGGTATTATACCCCCAAAAAAAGAAAAAAAGAAATTTGCTATAATGTTTAGATATCTTAATACAAATAAATTTCACAATACTAGTAGTGTCTGATCTTAAAAGTTTTCCTTCAGTCAGTTCACATTTATAATTATTTTACATGAAACATGATATCTTAAATTTATACAATATATGTCTATTGTTATAGTTCATTTGGTGCATTATATTATTTGTTATCTTTTCACTTTTACATATTACAGCAACATTGATCTTAGATTTGTCTTCTTCCAATGTTATTGTTGGTAAAATCATATGATTATCGAACGGCAAATAGCTTTGACTTTACTAATGTCCCATTCCCTATTCCATTGCTTAGATTTTCGACAATGCAGCTATTTTGATAACCAAAAAAGAACCGTTTGTTCTTGGAGAAGATTTTAATTCGTTTGATCCACTTAAAAAAAACCAGGATGTAACTAAAAGACTTCGGTAAACTTCGGCTCTTTTCGACAACATTCGGAAACTGTACTTCATAAGGTGGTAGCAGCTGTATATGACAAGATATGAACAAAATTAATCATATTGCAATATTTTAGGATATCATTTGACATGATTATCAGAAACAATATAGAACTGAAATATTTTTAAAAAAAAAGTGAAAAAAAATTGAATATTATATCTGATCGTTACATGAAATGTACTACACGCTTATGATGCATTTATTTTTTTTTTATTATTATTATTTCATATTTTTGAAATAAGATTCGTATCTACTAGAACTGCCAATAACCAATGTTCAATTCCATAATGTTGCATCTTAACCTTGTGTTAGACACATTTCTTATAAGTTCAGCTTACTTTCACAATAATTGTTACTTCTTGTAACGATTTATAGATTTGTATTCAAAAGTAAAACTATGAATTTGGTTTTATAATTGTAAATATACAAGCTTAGTTCCATGTTATTTCTTACATATTTTGAAGTATTTCTTTAATCCCTGTTTTTTTTAAAGTACCCACAGTGGGTTATTATTAAAAGTGTAATTTATTTGATCATTATTGCTTAAAAGTGCTTTCTGCATAAAGACAATAAAACAGGTGAATTTCTTAACATGGACAAGGCATTTATTTATTTTTTACCGCAATTTCATTGAAATTTGCATTATTTCGTTGTCGTTAACTATATATATGTGCACTGTTTTATTTGTAAATTTATTATTTATTTATTTTACTTCCAAATAAAATATGGAGGCTATTAGGAAATTTGTTGTTTATTAAATTACTAGAAATTATTGCAAATGAGAAGGACCTTAAGTTTCTATCAAACTCCGAAACAATGGCGACGTCGCTTTGCTAAACTTGTTACCACTGTTTCGGAGTTTGCCTTTCTATCGATTATCCGAAATAGGTGATGTATTATAATTTCCAATGAAATACTAACCACCAAAGACCAAAGGAAGTGAGTGTAAGCAAATATAAGTCATTGTACGGCTTCAATAATGAGCAAAACTCATACCATTAACTTTGCTATGAAATGTCTATAACTCACATACACACACACATATACTAATTATATAAAAATTCTTTAAAATTTTCAACATTTTCAATAATATAATATAAAGTATACATAACATTGAATTCACCATTTTTAATGAAAAAGTCTAGATAAAGGTAGCATTCAACACCTTAAAAAAAAGAAACATACACAGTTGTTAACTTCTGTGTCATTTGGTCTCTAGTGGAGAATTGTCTCATTGGCAATCATACCACATCTTCTTATTTTTATATGTGAACAATACCAATATACATGTATATATATTATATGTCATACGGTAGGACAACTCGATTATTGATAAGTCTATATATGTATATATAGTAGCTGTAAGACTATAAGGATAGTCGAAGAGTTATATATGAACACTCTTTCTACAAACACACACACTCGCGTGCGCGTGCACATCTACATGTATAAATGGATTTGAAACATTGTCACAAAATTAGGTATTCAAATCCAGCTGATGGAAGGACAAAAATTTGGTACCGCAAACTTTATTGACTCAATTTCAGACGAAATATATGTTATTTGTGGTGTTGGCTATGTGTAAGCCATGATTTACCAACGGAGAATATAAGTTTTAGAGTTGTCACACATTTAAACGTACATGTATAACATTTTTAAAAAGTTGGTGTATTGATCTAGGTTGCTGAACAAAGTGCAGGCGAAGTTGCCACGATGTCACAGAGACATGGGTTCCACTCCCGCCGAGGGAAGGACAAATATTTGCTTACGCAAATTTTCAAATCTAACATTGTTGACCTTAATTTCCAGACGAAGTACATGTAATAAGTTGCGTAGGCAATGTGTTTGTATCGAGAATGTGTCGAAGAGTTTTCACACTTTAGAGAAAACACACAAGCGACACAATATATTCTACATTATACGTAGGAAGTGAGTTAAGAATTATAGACAGAACACAATTCAACCACTGTTGTTCGATTAACTCCTTTAATACAATAAAAATGAGCAATTAGTGTAATAGTTAAAGCATGTATAGGAGAAACACAAAACAATCCGGGTCTTTTTTTCGATGAGCACTTTCCACATAATGAAAATAAGCAATAAGTGACATTGTCATTTTCCAATTCAATTATTTGAAATCTTAAGTACTAAGTATCCATGTGATTTATTTGGGATGTCAAGGTACACAGTTCAATAAAAATTAAAATCGGTGACGAGGTTGCATAATAAAAATGACAAATCATTTTAATACCACCACCAAGGACTACGTACAATTATCAAACAGAAATTCATATAAATGTTATTATTACAATTATATTTAAAGTATGCAATTTCAAACAAACAAACGATGCATACTCAATTTACATGAATTCAGTCGAACAATAGGAAATATATAATGCTGAATCTTCTGTCTAATCTTCTCACCTATGCCTAAGGAAGAGTGAAACATTAGGTGAAAATTACAATATTAACATGATACTGTAACTTAAACTTCAAAATGCTACACTTCAAACTTGTCAAAAAAATTAAAAAGACAATGAAATATAGTTTAACAATGTCTGACACATACGCTAAATTTGTAAACGAAACTAAGCTGAAAGTCGTCTTAATCGTGAAGACAGATTCTTCAAGCTTGTATTACATGTCTTATATGACTAAGGATGTCATTTCGACCACCAATGCTTAATACTATTTAGGGGGTATGTTTGTGTCAGGCGAATGGAATTTTTGAACCCTTAAAGACGTCATGAAATCATTTAAGATTTCTTTTAAAATAAAATGTAAATTTTGTTTCCCACAGTTAAGTAGAAGCAGATATCTTTATTCTACCTGCCAAACAGGTGCTTTGTGTAAATAAAAACAATAACCAGTCTGCTTACCTTTTGTTTCAGCAAATAATACTCGGTATTTAAAGTAAAACATCGATGTGTTTCGATGGTCATCCATGCAACACAATCTTTCTCTAAATGTATGTTACAACTCATCCAAAAAAGAGTTCTAGTGACCCTGAAAATCGATGTGTAACGATATATCTCTGCGCCTTTCAGAAGGTGATGATCCGAGCAGATCTCTATCGGCAAGACAATAGTTATCGTTTATGTTTATCTGGACAGGTATATCATCTACAATACACAAAGTAGCTCCTATAAACAAAAGATTGAATTATATAACACAATAAATAGTTTTTATGCATTGATTAGAAGAAACCTAAAGTTGGATTTAAAAGGAGACCAACATATATTATAACTTTATGTTTGTCATATTATCCCTGAGCATCCGTCCTTCCGTCTGCCTGGCATTCACAAAAGTTGCCGACCCAAAATATCATACAAAGAAATGGTACGAAAATTGATAGAACTACTTCTCACCGTATATATATATATATATATATATATATATATAAGTGCCTATAAATAGCAGCACATGACATACAAATCTATGGGAGTGTGGATTAATCAGTACAGAGATTAATTCAATTACACAAATAAAATTATAGATTGCCTAACAATGTAATTTTAACATTGTTACATTTATCATAACGATAGATGCACGCTTGATAAAGCTAGTTAGTCTAGCGAAATATTGCGTTTATTTTCATCATTTTGTAAATATTTTAAACATTCTTATATTTACATACTAAATAGTGTGTTAAAATTACATTGTTAGGCAATCTATATATATATATATATATATATACATATATATACACATATATTATATTATAAGTACGTCTAAACAAGTGACAACTCTACAACAGATCCGTTGATCGGATCACCAGTGAAGGTGATACACGGCTGAAAACACATATTATATTCATAATTTCTCTAAATTTCAACACAACAATGTTAAATCTGCAAATTTGCTAAGCAAATTTTTGTTCTGCGGGATTCGAACTCATGCTATTGGGATATCGAGACAACACCGCCTGCATTGTGTCCAGCGCTCTAGACCACTAGGCCACCTAGACTGAACTAAAAATTCAGATTTCGGTGGCCTAGTGTTACCTTTCCTCGTCAGTAGAATCTTAGAGTTGTAACACAGTACATGATATATTAGGCATTAAGATGGAATTGCTTGCAGATTAGCTAAATTATCTATCGTAAAGGATCGTAAGATGCAGTCACAGAAATAATTATTTGATAAGTACGTCGAAACAAGTGACAACTCTACGACAGATCCGTCCATGGGATCACCAGTGAAGATGATACACGACTGAAAACACATATTATATTCAAAATTACTCTAAATATCAACACAACAATGTTAAATCTGCAAATTTGCGGAAGCGAATTTTTGTTCTTCCCTCTCCGGGATTCGAACTCATGCTATTGGGATATCGAGACAACACCGCCTGCAATGTGTCCAGTGCTAGTTATGCACCTCCATTTTCATATTTCATCAGACACGGTTGTTGGGGTTTTCATCTAGCAAAACATAACGTTGCCTTTCTATCTATGAGGAAGTTTGTCATCTGAAGATCTGATTACCCTTCCGGAACACCTGAGATCACTCCTGGTGTTTCTTTTAGATTCGTGTTGCTCAGTATTTAGTTCATTTATGTTGTTTGATGTGTACTGTTGTTTGTCTTTTGGTCGTTTTTTTGTTTTTCGCCGTGGCATTGTCAGTTTGTTTTCCACTTATGAGTTTGAATATCTATTTGGTATCTTTTCCCTCTCTTATCCTCACAAAATGTCTTACAGTTTTCAATAAATGGAGAACGAAATGTTAGAGTTGCTTCATCATGTATTTTTTTGCAAATCAAATAATGCTATAGCGTTGTCTTTTTAGGCTTAAACAGGTGACAACCGGATGCACATATGTTTTCAAATGTTTTTTTGATGAACACCTTTTAGATTTTTGTCAGTTTTAACCTATATTTTGTTAATCCTAGGCGTACAATTTTAAAAGGGTGTGAACTAGTATGAATTTATAAACAACTATTCAGTAAAATACTGCCAAATATGAATAAATTGCTGTTATATCAGTCCCCAATGCTTATATTACCTAAAAATATATTATGAGCTACAAGATATGCTTATACAAATTTCTGTGTAGTGTCTTATGGATTGTTATTTGTATATTCTTCTTTTAATCAAAGAGAGGCGAAAGATACCAAAGTGACAATCAAACTCATAAGTAGAAAACAAACTGACAACGCCATGGCAAAATACGAAAACGATCAAAAGACAAACAACAGTATGCAAAACACAACATAGAAACTTAAAGACTGAGCAACACGAACCCCATAAAAAATCAGGGTGATCTCAGGTGCTCCGGAAGGGTGAGCAGATCCTTCTTCCCCAAATCAAGGTGTTGTTTGTATTACTTGTGGATTTTAATTGCTCCTATTTTTCAATTTTTCAATTTTGTTAATTTGTTTTCATCATAAATACTTGTAGATACACATATTTGTCACTGGTCGTTAAGCAATACACACTCAATCACTCATAAGAAGGGTCAGATAAAGCTCGCCTTCGGGTGCGGGATTTTCTCGCTGTGTTGAAGACCCAATGGTGGCCTTGGGCTTTTTTCTGTTCTTTGGTCGGGTTGTTGTCTCTTTGATACATTTCCTGTTTCCATTCTCAATTCTATTTGTCAGCATTCCCGTCATATAAAGAAGAAGTGTGTCCTGTGATGTGGAGAACGTGAAATGAAAAAAGTAATATTATCATGAAAAAGTTAAAACATTTTTAGCTTTACTGGTGCAGTTCTACCAATCTATGACTTATCGATGT